TTGAAAACGCGGTACTCACAGAGTGTCCGAGACGTTATTTTGTGATGGGAGAATTATGAAAGCTTGATCAAGTGAAATGTGGTTAAATCCACGTGTGTTTTGTCTGTAGAAATAGACATGTGCTGAGGTATCAGCAACAGTTATTGTATTAATTGCAATAAATCTGTAGATTAATTCACCTCACTCTGAACGAGTTGAGTGTTACACGGCGCTGTAAGATAAGAATCTAAACAGTGCTTTTTGGGTGGGTAGTGAGACGCGCCGACGTCTCACTGACAACCCACAGCTAGGAAGCTCATGCTGTGGACGTTGCCATAGTAACAAGTCGTAACCCGGAAGTCGAAGGAAACCTTTTCCGGAGGGAACTTCCAGCGCCATATTGAGCTGTTTGTAAACAGATAGGCAAGTTAAGCTATTAGCATCGAAGGCTAGTAGTTAGCACGTAGCATTTGTGGTCAAAGGCAAAGAGTTTTGCAGTGCTTGAGGTGACTCGATCAGTCACATCTGATTTCTTTCGCTATTTCACACTGATCTCATCCTACCTCTCCCACCTCTCTCTCCTCTTCTCCTCCCATTGAAAAGAACAGACAGATGCAAACTTTATAAACCTTATTGCAACGCGATTTTAACCAAACGTCAGATTAGCGATCTCACAAGTTGTTATAATCACGTTGGTTAAAATTAAAAGGGTTGGCCTCTTCCCTTCGGCGTGTTACTATCTCATTAAACTGCACCGTTGTATTGTTATTAACAATTAATCCTGGCCAGCCTAGGCCGTCTTACTTTAATGCTACGTTGTGATTAATTCAGCTATAACGGCCCTTATGATTTTATGGACATCAGTAAATATTATCAATTTGCTATACGTAAGGATGTGAAATTGTGAAGTACATTTAATAATTAATTACAGATTTGGAATTTACATTCCATTTCCTAAATTAATTACAGATTTGGAATTTACATTCCATTTCCTAAATTAATTACAGATTTGGAATTTACATTTCAGTTCATAAATTAATTACAGATTTGAAATTTTAATTTCATGTCATAAATTAATTTCAGTTCCTGCTTCCAATTGTAGGCGCCATTATAATTAGAAGACAACAACATTAAACGTTTAATCTTTAAGGATAGCAAGTTACTAATACTGATTTTATAATTAATTACATATTTGGAATTTTAATTTCATTTAATAATTAATTACGGGTCCTGTTTTCATATTGCCACGATATTTGCTGATCAGTCAGCAAACATCATAAAATTTTTAATCCTTAACCAGCAATGGTTAGCATTAGGGTTTGAGTCATCCTGCTTCAAGATATAAATTGATTAATAGTAATTTTAATTACTCTCATCAATTTTAATGATAACATCATTAAATTTTAACCAGGAAATACCATTGCTAACCCTAAATTCTAATTTAATTAGCAAATGGGCCTTCTTTCCCTCTCCCTTTCAGTTATTTAATTCATTTAATACATTGGGAGAGCAAAACTTTTCTCTCTCTTCTTCTGCTTCTCTCTCTCAGCTGTTTCCTTCTGAGTTGACTACTGCGGTTATTTTTGCTGGGATGTTGCCTGTGGAAATCACAAAGCAGAGAATTTTGAGAAATTGAACAGGTATTTTGTGAAACATTGAGAACGCCGTTTCAAAATTGTCTTCCATTTACCTTTCACTTGCTTAAGAAACCCTACCTAGCTAAGAAGACTGACAGGCACCCGCCAAAATTTGAACAAGCATCCAGGAACGAAAAATTGGTGAATGGTGTCAATCGTAACAGCTAAAAAACCCAATACTGTCATTTTTATTGTTTTTCCTTCACACGGAGGAATTTTAATAACAATCACAGTCCTGTGGTTTGTGGTATTAAGAAATCCCCATTCCCAAACGCCGGTTTAGAAGCACCCTTCTAAATCAAACTTAACCAAAAGGAAAAAGAGAAGAAAATTCAATTATCCTCATTCTGCTACCAGAAAAGGGTATCTTGTTGTTATATCTTTCCCTCTCATCTTACCATTAACTTTCTTTCCTTTCAAAAAAAAAAAACTTTTCTCTTACAGGAAAATTGGAAGCAGCCAATTACTATCCTGTCCGCTGCTCCATTTTGTTTGTTCTTTTTCTTTCATCCCTCCGTTCTCTAACTGTGCTACCTGTGTGCTTACTAATTTTCCCCACAGAGACTACAAATTAGGAGCACGCCCACCAGAGAATCACAGTCACCGAGAACTACACTCACCTGTCCCTTACACACTCACTGTCAAACCACAAGTGACATTGCACACTTACACCTCTGTTTTGCCTTGTTTGTTTTGTTTTGTTTGTTTCCTCTTCTTCAAGGTCTGTGTCAGTCTAGGTTCTAAGATCTCCCTCACCACGCCAAAACATGTCTCGCACAACAGACTCTATTGGCCACTGGGAAGACCTTGAGACATGGCTAAGTGTTGCAACAGACAGCCTCCTACCTAAGGCTGCTGAAACACTGAGGCATCAGACACAAGACCAGCTGGATGACAACATAGCAAACCTCATGAAACAAGACCCAAGTCAGAGCTACAGTCACAAAGAATTAGCAAAGATCACCGGCTCCTTAAGCCACACACTCATCGCCACCCTCAAGCTGAGCGACAGGCACGCCGCCCATCTCCAGCAGGAGCTAACACGCGCACAACGACGCGTCGAGCAGCTAGAACTGGAGGCTCAGGAACGACAGGAAGGGCATGATGAAGTGGAACAAGGCGCCGAGGAAGAGATCACTAGGCTAAAAGAAACCCTAGCAGCCGCTATCCAAGAAATGGAACGAGGCAAGGCTGACCACGCTGATCTCTCCAGCAAGCTACAATATGCCGAACAGCTCCTGGAAAAGGCAAAGGCCGACTTCAGAGACAAGAACGGCCGAATTAAAGCCCTTGAAACTCACCTGGATGAGTCAAGAAACGAGATCAGTCGCCTAACACTACAGCTGGACTACATCAAAGAGAAGTCCGACAGCATCAGAGAGGAACTCAGACATGCCTACGAGCTGCGCCCTGAGCCTACAAGAACCCGACGAGCACCAGTCTCACCCCTGCCTAGCAGGACCGGGTCACCTGTTCCTCGACTGACACGTGAGCAAAAGGGGGAGGGGGCAGTGCTGAAACATTCACCGACTCCCTCTGAAGAACCTTACCTCACGACAAAGCTAAGAGAACTTGCTCCAGCCAGCCACAGAGCATCGCATGGCTTGGACCTCAAAGACCTCGACAAGCTCGCCAGAAACATTGGCAAATTCACCCCAAGTGTGCCAGGTAGCCAGGATGTCCAAGCTTATCTGCAAGACGTCGATTTCCATCTGGAAATGAGGCTCAATGTCACGGACAAAGATAGACTCTATTTGCTCCGAACAACAGCCAGCCCTGACGTACGCAGTTTCCTGGACAGGCAGCCTGCTCACACAAAGGCTGACTACCACCTCCTCCGAGAGGCCCTCATTAAAGAATTCGCCGACCCTGAGTCAGAACAAGGACTAGTGGCTGCCCTGGAGACGAGACAAGGACGTCATGAATCTCCTCAAGCCTACTACAGCCGACTCAGACGAGCATACTTCGGAACTCGCAACGAACCGAACATGGAAGATGATCTAAACTTCAAAACTCTCTTCCTGAGAAACCTCCATCCTGGAGTAAGCCACCATCTGGGCGTTCTCGCATGTCCGCGAACAATGAATGCTCAACAGTTGCGTGACTTGGCACAGAAAGCCTACGGCAAACAGAAGATGGCCTCAGAAAAGGGCGCCAAAACCCCAACAGTTCTTGACTTCAACACTCAAAGTCAAGGTCTGGCTCTAGAGGGCGCCCAACATCAAGACCATGCCAAGCCGCCACACAAAGAGTGGAACACACCCTCGTCCAACAGAGAACGAGACTCCCATGCTGGTACCCGACCTAAACAGAGGAACAACCGCTGGGATGGACCGCGTGGACGACAACACTCACCTGGACGTCACTGGGAAAAACCTTGGGACCAATCCAGACCTCGTGAGACTCAATGGGACAGATCGTGGAATCAGCCCAACTCGTTTGGAAACTCAAGAGGAAAAGGCTCATGGGAATCCAACGGAACCTCCAAGGGAAAACGACAGACACACCCTGGAGCACCCAGTCCAAGGAATCAACGAAGAAACTCGCAAAGATTCCAAGCTGACCAAGCTCAAACTGAATCCACACAAGAACAAAACACATCACCGTGTTTCGACTCACAAGAGCTAATGAAAATGATGATGAAAGAGTTCTTCCACCGAAAGGAGGAGGATCGGAAGTGGGAAAAGAAAGAGAAACCAGAGTCAGCCTGACTAGCAGCCGGAAGAGAAGGCAGCGACCAGCTGACCCAACCAGCCACAACATATATATATACACACTATATATATATATATATATATATATATATATATATAAAATTCTCCAGCTATGATCCTTGAGTTTTTGGCCACTCAAACGATCCTCCTCGGCATGCAATAAGACAATATAGACACATGTCCTCTTTCAGGCAGATTTGTAACAAGTTGATTGGAACCTCTTAATTATTGCCCTGATGGTGGAAATGTGAATTTTCAATGCTTTAGCTCTTTTCTTACAGCCAATGTTTTGCTGCACATCAGAACTATTGTTTGTGATGGACGATGAAGGGAGTTTGGCCTTTGTGTTCCCTCATATTTATAGTCCTATAAAATAGAAAAGTCATGGCTTTTCATTCACCCTGGTGTGCTAAAAATGTAAAAATGAATAGGAATATACTTCAGAGATATGTTATTAATGAGAATTTCTAGGGGTGCTAATAATTGTTGGTCAACGTTTTACCTCAATAAAAGGAATTTTTTGAATGAAAGATCAAAAGGGTGAACAATGCAAAACTTTTCACAGCCCTTGTTGCTCATATTTACCAAGGGGGCCAATAATTCTGACCACAACTGTATGTCTATAATTAAGGGCTCCTTTAGAGCACCTTTCCAAGAAAATCCCTTTTTATCACCTTCTTCTTGGGCACTTCCTGAGGACAGGATCTTGGGTAACAGTCTGTGGAAGCTTCCGTCTCCTTCTGGCTCCCTGATTAGGATTCTTGTCTACACCAGCATCATGACACATCTGATCCTTTTCCTCTTGAACCATATCATTGAATTAAAGGTGCAATCAGTAATATTATATGTTGCACTGACTGATGTGTCAGTCACCACAGACTTACACTAAAATCTGGAGTTCTTAATAACAATTTCAAATTTCACCATTAATCGTGGAAAATCATGGACTGTACACTTACAGTACACATTAGCACATTATTGTGACTGCCAGTAATCCTAGAACAGATGCTTGAAAAGTTGCCAATATAATCACACTGTTCTGCAATATCACTATCTCTCTCACACTCTCTCTCTCTTTCCTTCAGCTGCTCCTGTTAGGGGTCGCCACACTGGAATTATCCGCACAGCCATTTGGCACAGGTTTTATACCGGAGACCCTTTCTATTACTAGATCTAAATTGTTTATCTATGTTTCCAATACACTGTTGTGTGTCATTTAATACAACTTTAATCTTTTTGACTTTTTAATAGTTTAAAAAAGAAAGAAGCAAAAACAGAAGAACACACTTCATGTACTGGTGTATGTGATAATGAGTTTGCTCACCCCGACAGGAAAACCCCGGCTCAGCTTCCAGGTCTCTCCTGTCATATGATGGTATCGTTCCATTTTCTGCTGGAGTAACAAGTTCTGTCTTGGCTTTAACACACTTTCAACATAGTCGAATGTCTTCATAATATGAGAAACTACATATTTATTGTTAGAATATATTATATTCATATCATATATACTCAACTACAGTGGAACATTTAATATTTTTTCACTTTTAATATAGAGAGTCGTGTTGAACCTTGTCATTGTGTTGATGTTGTTGAATTCTTCTAATTTGCTCTTGTTTCAGTCTGTTGGATTCATGCAGGGGGCCTGCAAGATGACAAACGTCAACTTCAATTATAAAAATAAGCTCTAACAGAAAATGACACAACTACACAAACATCAGATTGTCATCTGAAAGTACGCAGCTCTTGACACAGCAGAAAGAAGAAAGATTTCAGCCTCAGGAACATGTAAATCAGCCATGTGCAGATGCCCAGGAATATGAACCCGCATCCAGCCAGCTTCAGAGCATCTTTAACACCTTTAACACACATCACACTCATAAAACACCATTTCAAAGGCTCCCTTACGAATTCATAAATTTTTATACATCGAAAATTGTTACAATTTGATATTAATAAATTATATAATTAATTATATTTCATCGGTTACATTTTTAACACATTTTGTGTTATGTTTAAGACGTTACAATAGATTTATAATGAATTTAACATTTTTAACATTTAATTAATGTCGATAATAAGACAATGTAATGATTCCAAGTTACTATTAGGAAATTCACTATTTTTGTCTTGCTCTCCTAAAAATGAGTGACAGCTAAATTAAACTCTGGATTTTCTTTTTTTTATTTCTGATTTCATGTTTCGCCAGAATAATGATTATCATGATAATGTGTTACCAATTAACGAGCGTTTCCATGAAATTAAGCAAAATCCTACCAGTAAAACACAGAACGCAACACATCTGTTAGACATGTCAGCAGTGATAGAAATAACAGCATGGAAGTAACATATCCACTTACTGTGCGCCCCTATTTTTGAGCATTTTCTGAAAAA